TCCCCATAATAGTGTGGGAATGGAACCACTATGGTCCAAAGGATTTTCAATGGCTGAATTTTCAGAAGTACATCACCAGGCCTTTCCTCCAAATCTGTCTGAGTCTAGAAGTTCTGCTGAAACCTGCTCACTATCATAGCAACATACAAGTGTCCCATGAGAGATGGGTGGTGGCTGCACTTGAGGTGCATTGGCTGTGAATCAGATCTGTATCTCCTGCATGGCAAGTAAGAATTCGACTACGGAATCACTAGGACCTCATGCTCGTAATGGAAATGTCTTCAGGTTCTTTCCTCGTCGGTCTAATATTTCAATGGGTCTATCTCTGTGCTCCAGACAAGGTACGTACTGTTCAAGCTGAGGGTGGAAGGGGTATCTGTTTTATTTTTTCTAAATTAAAAACTCTCTCTAGGACATAGATGTGTATGGTACTAAGTGCACTGACCACCAGGCATTTACTACCACAAATATATCTTGGAGATGATGACAATGGTGTTGACAAATAAGATACCATTAAGGTGGGCTTCCAGCATTTGGCAGTGATGCGCAGTGGCTAAGCCCCACAGCTGTCCTATGCCATGGTGTTCAAACCACTGAGCAGAGTCAGAGGTCAAGAATCCAGTTCTTTAAGGAAGGTGCAAATTTAAAGAAATGGTTCCCAGCTATAAAAACGAACTTAGCTTATGAACTTTCTCCTCTATCAATACGAGGAGACAAACAGTGGGTGGAAAGACTAAGTAGAACGATTTCTTTCCCTGAGAAAAAGCAGAATGTACAAGCCCATTATTACTCAGCTCGTTAATTATTAATCCTATGCTCCTCTCTTGCTAGAACTTCTGGTGCAGTATATAATTCATGAATACACTTTGCCAGCTCTCTGCCTGCTGGTTAATCTCTCTTTGGTGTCATTTTATTCATTTTGAAAGTCTCCAGTTCCTTCTTATAGGAATTAACGTTTCAAATCCTCAGATTGCCTTTTGCAAGCATCCATTTGCATGTTCTGATCTTTTCCAACTTTAGTGATCATCAACCTGACTTTTCAGGTTCCAAGATACTTCTTTGAACCCACTA